CGGAGCCGGCCGCGGTAGTTGTTGTCCGAGAAAAAGAAACGTGCAAAATCCCCTCCCGCTGTGGTTCGTTTCTCCCTTCTGCGACCTGCCGAGTCCTTAAATTCCCTTCGGCACGTTAGCAGGGCTGTGCAGGTCCTTTGCACTTTGTTTCGTAAGTGAATAAGTGCTTTTCTTTCTTTGTGTATTGAGTTGCTATTGAATTGCTTCCCATATTTTTATTTCATACAAACTGAACAATTGTGGCCCCTCTATTTTATTTATAAAGGTTCAGTGTATCTTTGCCTGCCTACATCAATCTGCAAGGGAGTTGCAGAAAAGCCTCATGTTCATCGAGCCGTGAGTCACAACCAATTTTTAAAGCTGTTATAACAAAAAAAAAAAAAAGTGTTTGCTTTTTTTTCACCAGTAACTTTAAAAGTGTAGCTTAGAAGGAAAAAAAAAAAAGCCAAAAAACCCAATTTCAGTAGACACAACATTATTCCTGGATGCTTGCAAATCCTAATTAATATTCATACTTTAGTATTACACATTCCTGTGTCGTATACACAGCCGAGCTTTAAATTTGTCACATACCATTACCACTTTGCCTTTACTTTTATGTATCATTCCCCTGACTTCCTTACTGCAGGTGTGGGCAAGAAAACTTTTCCTTTAAAACTTTTCAACAGTGGGCATAAAATTCTGCAGCTGAGGTCTTGAAGAATGCAGATGGGTATAGTATATGTTGGAGCTCGCAGTGTGTATTGACTAACTTTGTTTCTTTTTTTAATTTCTTATTTATTTTTTTTTTGCTTTTCTGATATTGTCTCGTTTTAAGTGGCTCCTGAGTGTAAAAATGTCTCCCTGAGGGGGGGAGGTGGGTGGGGAAACAGGCTGCGGGTTCCAGGCCGAGCCCGAGGGGATTGGTCTCTGCTTGGGAGCACACTGCGTAGCTTGGGTTTCAAACCCGGTGGACTGAGGTCTTAATTAGCAGCTGAGGAAATGGGCAATTGTCTCTAAAAACCGCTCAGCACAGCCCTCTTTGTGATTCGAGGCCCTCTGATGGCGTGGGTTGTGATATCTCCTGCCCCATCCCCGTGGTAAAAAAAGGGGGAAGGAGGGCAAAAAAACCCCACAAACTAAAAGGTTTTGGCTGCGAGCCAGAGTGTCTGTCTCCTGTGTTCTCTCTGGGCTGTGCTGTCTCTTGATATGGTGACAGGCCTTGGACGCTACTTGGCTCGCCGACACTGTGTTTAACGTGCTGTGCTGGAGGAATAAATGCTAAAATAGGCTTTGTTGCCAATTAGAAGTGCTGCAGAATATCCTGTTACCCTCTAAGCTTTTTTTTTTCCCCCCCCGAGTAATTTTGGGGAGCAGGAGCACCAAGTATTTTAATCAGCATATTGAGGCGAAATGATCATGCCAACGGCTTTGTTCTCTTATCAGCATTCTAATGTCTCCTTATTTAAAACCACACATGAATTTCAGGAGATGAAACCAGACAAAGGGTGAAGTTTACAGACGATCGTGTTTGCAAGAGCCACCTTCTGGATTGCTGTCCTCATGATATCCTGGCTGGAACAGTGAGTATTGCTTCTGTAGGAGGGCGTTCTGGGGAGGCAGATGTTGGTACAGCTCTTCAGGGCCAGGCTGTGCAGGGTGGGTGACTTCCAGCAGGGATCAGGCTTTCTGTGCTCCAGGAGCAGCCACAGCTCCAGTTTCCACTCCTGTGACTGGTGTATGGAACTGAGCTCTTGGGGTTCACTTGAAATGTGTTTTCTCTCACAGTCCCACGTGAAGTTGCAGGGTTATTTCTCTGTTATCAGTGGGAGGTGGTTAGGGCCTGAAGCTTCTCCTGTGGAGGCTGTGGGGCTGTAGCTAGCCTGCTGTCCTGCATGTGCTCATTCCCTGTCGCATCTTCAGGTTAGCAAGTTTTTCTTACTGGCTGCAATAATCCTTAATCCTTGGAGCTTTTCAGTCTCCCTCCAACCACGCGACATTCCCCTGCTGGAACAGCAGCTTGTTGTCACTGCCTGGTCTGGTGATGGCAATTTGCAGCTCAGGCTGGGTTAGAGTTGGTTGGTCTGGGTGGTGTGTCACTGCCTGACTGGTTTGAAGTGGCCCAGTCGGCTCCTTTGTTGCTGCCCTCAGGGGACAGAGTGGGACAGTTTTCAAAGCTTTGGCTCGTGTGTGACACGGGCTTTGAACAGTGAGACCTTGTGAGGGAAGTATTCTGCTCAGGTGCCTGGGTGAAAGCTGCAGTCTGGCTGGCAAAAGGAAATGGTGTCTGTCTTCTGTCGTGCTTGCTGTGTGACAGAATTGCAGGAAGGAGATGAATACAAATATTTGAAACCCATCTTTACCCTCACTGCTTGACAGTAAATACTGTGGTGATTCACCTTGTCCACCCACTTCACCAGACTGGAGATACCGTGGTTATTTATAACCCTTCCTGCTGTTTTTTGGGGAGCTGGTTCTGCCACGGTGGGTCCCCAGCTCAGTGTGGGGCTGGCACTGTGTCCCCTGCATGTGCTGCTGTGAGAGCATGCCTGGAAAGTCCTTTAGCAAAAGCTGCCTTGGCTCTGAGCACTCAAACTTTACCTTCTCAGTGGCTGCTATTGCAGAGTGAAGTTGGAAGAGTTGGGTACCAACCTCTGCATCTCTGTTTTTTGTTAGTTTGGAGCTCAGATGTGTTTTCCAGCAGTTGCTCCATCAGCTCTATTATCACCTCGCTTCCATTTCAGAATTTTAAAGCTGCTTCAATCACCTTCTGTCCACCTTGGTGCAGGTCACTGTGGCCAGGGTATTTTTTTAACGTGGGATTCTTTTTAACGTGGGATTCTACCCCTTTTTGGGGGGGGCCAATACAGTGGTGTGAAGATGCAGGATGCCTTTGGCCTCTTCAGGCACGTTTCCAGGAAGAAGGTAGATGGTGAATCGAAGGGGTTGGGTTAAGTGGTGGGCATGACTGCTGGAGATGGTGCCAGAGCACGGATGAAGTCTAAGGTGCAGGGCTGAGTGAGCTGTGGGTCTCCCAGGGCAGAGAAGCAGAGTAAGAAATCTTTCTCTTGCCTCTGTTGTTGCCTGTGGTGAGTCATCTCTTCCCTCTTGCTGTGGAATTTGTGCTCAGAAATCTTCACGGTGAAGCAGGAAGGAAGATTGGTTCTGTGTGAGTGGTCGTGTGGATCTCTTGGGTGATCTCCTGGTGGCCTTTCAGTGGCTGTGGAGCTCTCCATGCTGCTGTTGGCAGGTTCTTGGGGGTGAGAAAAGTGTTGGTGCCACAGATCTGTGTGGAGAGAACATGTGACGTCCAGAATGGGAACAGCATTTCAGCTGTCAGTGCTACCAGCACAGACTGAAACTTGCCTGGAATGTGCAGCCTGCCCTCGTGATCTCAGCCAGCTTCACTGGCATCTTACAGTGCCCCGTGGAGGGGAGAGCTGTGTGGGTGAATCCACCTCAGCTGGATGGGCTAGCATCCATTTCTGGATGCAGAAATCAGAACCTTGGATCTCTTTGGAAACTTCCAACAGATGCTTCAAGCCTTTTGGTGCTGGTTAGGATGTGTCCTCCCCCTGAAGGCATTGCTCCTAGCAGGGGGCTGAGTGGAGGTGAGCAGGAAGCTGGGTTCCTTGGGCAGCTGTGCTCAGTGAGATGTGGTGGAGTCTCATTTCCTGACCTTCAGGTGCAAAGTGAGTGAGTCCAGGCTGTAAGGAGAGCTATGGAACATTCCTGAGAGCTCCAGGAGGCACGTGGATATTAGCCATGTTTAGGTGCACCAGTGTTCCTGGTCCTAAGAGCTGTGATCTTAATATGGTTTGGGATTTTTGTGGCCCCAAAAACTTGTTTAAACTTGTCACTAAATAAGCTACGATGGTTCCCTTCTTGGTCTCCACAGGAAAAGAGGAAAATTCAGGGCAAACCCACATTAGTTTAGTGTGTCAGTGTGCTGTTATCAGGGGACTTGTCCCCTAGAGCATTCATGGCCTGCCCCAGGTTGGCTCTGCAGCTAACAGTAAGCCTGTTTCTGCAGCATGCTGAGAGATGGCATCAGCTCCTAATCCTCCTGAATTTTAGCTCCACTAATAAGTGGGCAGATGAGTCTCAAAGCTGCCCAGCATGGAACTTGTATTCAGGGAATTTGTGTCCCTCACTGGGAATTAGGAAGGAGATTAAATCTGTAGGTCACAGATTTGTTTTGTGGGAGTCTGCACTTTCCTTTTTACTTGGGTGAAACTCTACAGCTCTGATGATTATTGAAGAGCCTTCCTCATGGAAATCAGCTTTCTGGTGAGTTAGCAGTTCAGTGGAGATACTTCAGAATGTGGATTGCTCTGCAAATGTGAGCAGGGCTAATGATTAGTGGCATCTAAACATATTAAATCTTTGTCTGTATGGGGGTTTAAAGCTTTACTCTGGCTCTGCTGGTTAACTGTGTTATAAAGCAGCCAGGGTGCTGGCTGGGTCACAGTCCCTGCTGGAAAGGGGGAGTATTTGAGGACAGGTCTCTCTGGGATGAGCAATACCTGGGGAAACCTCCATGCACCTACATCATCTCTGAGGGCATGGAGGAGGAGTTGGGGTTCGTATGCTGGTGAGACCCAAGTGTTCTCCTCTAGAGGAAGGTGTTGAAAGGCAACAAATCCCTCAACAACCAGGGAGAGGAATATGGAGCATGCTGCTGGTTATTCTGAGGCTCTGGGTTGGAGCCTTTTCTCTGAACTGGAGCTGGTGGCCAAGCTTGCAAGAAGAGTTCAGATCAGAGTACTTCTGATCTGTGACAGTCACACCTAATATTGCTGTTTTCTCCCTAGACTGGGAAGGGGTCTTGATAGAATAACTAAGAATAAGAGATTTAAGTCATATCCTGAGAAGTTATTTTTGTGGTAAAATAAGAGTAGTTCACTAGCATTATTCAAGGCTTGCCTGGAGGTGAACGTGATCAAGCTCTGAAAATCCTGAATGCTTTTTTTCTGTAGGCATTAAATTTCTGTCATTAGAGAGCTCAGCAGGACTTTTGACACAGTTTCTGTTTCTACAACCTGCTGCCTGTGGCCTCCTCTTTCTGGTCAATCTGAGCAAAATGAGGCAGACTCAATAGTGGCGAGTCATCCAGGATTGTTTTCTTTGTTTAAAAAAGAGAAGCTAGTAACAGAGGTAACTGCTGAAACCTGGAGCATTTCCTGGGGTTCAGGTTTGAGCTCCTTGGTGACTGGGAGAGGAGAGGGTGCTGGCTGGGCTGTGCCTTCAGGTGATGACGTGTCCCCTGCCATTCATACTGTGGCTCATGCTTAGGCCTTCTGTTAATTAGCTTGCAAAATGTCAAATTCTCTCTCTAAGAATAAGAGAGATGTTCTCTGTTATATATTGATAACGTCAAAATGCAGTCTTGATGTTTTGAGACATAATTAACTTTGGTTCATGTGGCTGTTACCTACTAGGCTGGGGAAGAATAAGAAATTGAAATAGCATCCCCTATGGGAGTGCAGGGAAACATTCTGTCTGTGCTCTGTGATTTGGTGTCTCTCAGGATGTTACTGAGTCTCAGCCTGCCACAGGCATTTCCAGGTGAGCTTTAACCAGGGTCCAGAGCTGTACATTCTGTTGTGCTGTAGCTCTGGAACAGGAGGCATTGGGACTTAGTGCCCAAACTGGGGTTTTAGTGTTGCTCTGAGAACACCTAGAAGAGGGGTTCTAGAAAGAATGTGGTTCTTCTGGCTAGTTCTGTTACTGACAGAGGAAGCTGCTCTTCCTCAGGAGGCTGTGTTTTGGTCTGATAGTTGACAAGAGTTAAGTATGTGCTGCCTGTTGCCATAATGGGGGTTTCTTACCCTAATTTTTCTTTCCAACAGCGAATGGACCTGGGAGAATGCACCAAGATCCATGACTTGGCCCTGCGAGCAGATTATGAGATTGCAAGTAAAGAGAGAGATCTGTTTTTTGAGCTGGATGTGAGTATGGAGAAATTTTAGTGCCTTTTGTGGAAACTGCTTCTTGTAGTTACTTGGCTGAGCAGTAGAACTCGGCAGGCATTTCAGCCAGCCATGTTATTTGATGTGTTACCTGACAAAGAATGTGCTGCCCCTTCCTGAATGCCAGCTTGATTGCTGACCTGAAGTTGTAAAAGCAATTATGGCCCTTGCAACCCCATTAGTCCAGCTGGCTGGGAGGCTCTGCTGGCATTCCTTGCATCCCACACCTCCTGCTCTGGACCAGGTCATTGTAACCTGGTGTCCTGGCCCAGAAGGAGATTTGCTGTTAAAAGCCTTCTGCTCTGTGGTTTCACTTTTTGCCAGGTTTAGTTTTCTGTAATGGAACAAATGAAGTGGAAGAACAATTCTGTCTTCCATTTTGATGTTATTCCAGTGCTTTTGGTTTTGCAACTGTTGCTCATGTGTTGGAAGTTCCAGTGCAGAGCAGTCTTCACGTGAGCATCCTGATAAGTGTTGGAGTGAAGGAACTGTGTCAGGTGACAGACAGATGACAGACTTTGGGGCAGGGATCAAATTTTACTTTTTCTGCAAAGCATCACGTGTCTTTTTTTTCTCAAGGCATCTGTTCTTGAGGTTGTTTGTGCATTATGCTGGGACTGCACCAGCTAGCTGTGAGCTGTCAGAGCTACACCTGGCGTGGAGAGCACCCACCTTTATTCACAAGCCTTTGTCTGAACACACAGGCCATGGATCACCTGGAATCCTTCATCGCAGAGTGTGACAGGAGAACAGAGCTGGCCAAGAAACGCCTGGCTGAGACACAGGAAGAGATCAGTGCTGAAGTCTCTGCAAAGGTATTGGCCTCTTGTTAAACGTTTGTTCTGCAAGCCTCTGTGAGAGCACTGATGCTCTGCTGTCCCTGGCACCATTGCTAGTGGGAAGTTGAGCCCCACAAAGGCTTTGTGGATTCCATCCATCCTCCTCCAGTGCTGTTCTGGCTGCTCTTGTGACAAACTTTCTGGTTCAGAGGGTTGTAGTAGCAGAAAACATGAACTCTGAAGGAGGCTGCTTTAGTGTGGCAATAAAGCATATTGGTTTCTTCCCCCACTATTCAGTGTTAATTTAATAGAATAGTAAATCCATTCCATGCTTGTTGTCTTTTCTCTTGGTACATTCTCAGAGTTTCCTCTTTGGGAATTTGTTTCATGGGGACAACACAAGGCATTTCTGAAGCTGGTTTTGAGGACTCTATCCTGTCCTGCCAGCCAGAAGTGTGCCACTGTCTGTGGCAGAATGAATGATGTCCTCTGTGTCAGTTTTTTTTCCCTCTGTCTGTTACTGCCTTGCCTGTACTGAGCCCACCAATCCCTTTTTGTTTGGAGTCCTCTGACTTTTGGAGATTTATGATCATCTACCAACAACTGCTTTTATTAAACAACATTTTTTAGAGAAAAGGAAAAGGCATCCCACAAGTTTTTGTGTCTTATTAAAAACACACTATTCTCTTTAGGCAGAGAAAGTACATGAGCTGAATGAAGACATTGGGAAACTCCTGGCTAAAGCTGAACAGCTGGGGGCTGAAGGAAATGTGGATGAGTCTCAAAAGATCCTGATGGAAGTGGAGAAAGTCCGAGCCAAAAAGAAAGAGGCAGAGGTATGGTGTTGGTTCTCCTGTGGGCTGGAATAGCAGTCTGAGCTAGAGCCAGCATGTGATGAGCAGCTTGGGGGGGTTCCTGCTGCTTTTCTGATGTTGCCAGCAGCTCCTTTTTGGGTTTCAGCTGTGTGCCAGCAAGCAGCTGGCATTGTAGTGTGGTTGATAAGGAAGGACACCCCAGAATTTTTGATCTCATGAGGGTTGCTGGGTGGGGTGGGATTCGTTCCCTGCAACATTGGGTCACCGGTCCCTTGCAGGGACAGGCTGTGAGGTTAGCTGTGCTTTGTGTGGCACCTCCTTTGTGTCGAGGGTGGGGTTGGGAGTCTTGAAAGCCCTGGTGCTGTGCTTTGCAAGGGTGTCCCTGGAGGGCTGTGACTCTGAGAGGGTTCCCTGACATTTGTGGGGTGGTTTTTTTTTGCCTCCCTTTAGGAAGAATACCGAAATTCAATGCCTGCATCCAGCTTCCAGCAGCAGAAGCTGCGTGTGTGTGAAGTCTGCTCAGCTTATCTGGGTCTCCACGACAACGACCGGCGTCTTGCCGACCACTTCGGAGGCAAATTACACTTGGGTTTCATTCAGATCCGTGAGAAACTGGATCAGCTGAGGGTAATGCTCTGTTTTAAACCTTCTCCTTGTAGTTCTGAAGACATTCAACACTTATTAAATTCATAGAGGACTCTTTGCAGAGCGCTTGTAGAAGCCCAGAAATTTCTAATTGCAGAATCCTTGAAACTTCAAGTGGAGGTTTGGCTAGTCTCACATGCTCTGTAATTTCTGGGCAACTAAATAAGTGCCTTAAGAATGAGTCAAACCAGACCACTGCTGTCATTTCTTCCTTAAATACATGCAGCTGTACCATTGCCCTTCCTCATTGGTTTAGCTGAAATCTGTCACTGTGGATTTTTTGACTGTTGAAGAGCACTTTCAGACCTCTTAATGAAATGCTTGAACTGAAGTTTCATATAGTGCTCTGAGTAAAAAAGGTCTTCAGTAGCTGAAGCCATTGAAAGTGCTCTGGAATGGTTTGTAATGGAGTTGTGATAGTGGGAGAGAGACCTTTAGCCTGCTCCAGTAAAAGTTGTGGTTCCCATGCCTTGCTCACTGGGCATGTTCTTTTAGGTCAGGGCCTCGATGGATCGTTGGCAGGAGGCCAGAACACTGTTTGTTGCACATCATGTGCAGTTGTGGTGAGACAATCCTTGCCTCAAAGCTTTTACAGCCTGGTTGTAGAGCACAAGCACTCAAAGCAGAGCAGGGAGTGCTCTGATGTGTGTCAGTGAGGTTGTGAGGAAAGTGAGACCCTTGATGGGGATCTTGGCTAGCAAAAATGCAGTGAAGTGGTTCTTTGTCTTACCACCCAAATAGTCTCCCTGCAGATCTCTCTGTCCTGGTACTGTATGGCTGAAGTGCTGTGTGAACTTTTTTTCTAGAAAACAGTGGCAGAAAAGCAAGAGAAGAGGAACCAGGATCGTTTGAGAAGGAGAGAGGAGAGAGAACGGGAGGAGAGACTGGGCAGACGGTGAGTGGAAGCTGCTCACTGGCCTGAGAAGCTGGTTTTGAGACAGGCTGGCTTCTTGCCTCTGAGCACTGCAGGAGAGCAGCAGCACCTGGTGCTGGATCTGCTGTTGGACATGCTCTGGGTGCTGTGTGAGCCCCTGGGCAAGGTGAAAACAAATGCACAACCCCCCCGTGTAAGACTGATGGTATGTGTATTGTTTTAACCTCCATTGTGTATCTGAAAGATGTGAGCTCCCAGTGGTCTTCAGGCTTATATGGGTCTGGTCCCTGTCTTTGGGAATCTGGGTAAAATGCCCTCATCAAACGCATCTGAGTGGGAAAGTTTTAAGATGAGTGAGGGCTAGGTGTGTTCAAAAAGCACTAGTTGTGCAAAAATTCCCCAGACAGCCCCCCTCACCTCCAGGCTAGGAGCTGACAGCAGAATGGAGCTGCCTGTCTTGCTTTGAAACTTTCCTAGAGTAACAGGGAGGTGCTTTTGGCACAGTTTTGGAAAACCCTTCCTAGGGGATGCCAAATAGTGGCTGCCCTGATGCTTGTGGCCATGTGTGTCACCTTTTGCTCATCCATGTTTAATCCCTGAGCAGAGGGAGAGGCTGCAGTGCTGGTATTCCTGGGACAAGCTCTTCTGCCTCTTGCCAGCTGAACTGGAAAAACAATTTCTTTACTCCAGCAGGCATCTTGTGTGTCAAGAGCTGAGTTCAAAACAGCATGGTGTGGAAAGGGTGGATATTTGCAGGTCGGGCAAAGGAAGTGGCTGAGTAGGAATGTTGTTCTCATTGTCACAGCATCCTCCCCTGTTACTTGACGTGTTTCTCCTCTTGTACTTCTTGTGTCAACAAAAGCCACCTAAGCTTGAGCTTGGCTCTTTGAGCCTCAGTGCCAGCTGCAGTGTGTGTTCCAGCCATGTGTGTCTGAGGCAGTGTGCTCTGAGATGGTGCTGGCTTCTGGGGATGCACTGCTGGAAGTGCTTTCTGTGGTCTGCAGCTTTGTGATTTTGGTGTATTGTGAAGGTCTAAGCCCCAAATTGTTCTGTGTTCTTCAGTTAGGGTGAAATGGCCTAAAGCCCTGAGTACTTGCTGGTTGTGTGTGTGGCACTACTTGGGAGACTGTGGGCAGCCTTTGCTCTTGCTTGCTGTGGAGGCATCTGTATGCTCCTCTCACATGCTCAGATGCCAAAGAAAAGCATGTCCTGAAGGAGCTGGGAGTGCCCTACAGAGCAGCTCAAATTATTTGCCTATCCAGAAGGAGAACTTGACCCAAAGAAGGAAAATAATTTTCCCAGTGTATGCTTGGTGTCAGAACTGGGACTAGAGCCCAGATTTCTCTGCCTCTCAGCACCTTCCCCCCTGGGAGCTGTGGCACACCATGCTTATAGGAGTCTTTTTTCCATCAAAAACTAATTGGTGACTTCTCCCACTTTTTACACAGCCTCTCTTTCTTGCCCAGAGCTTGATACTTGAAGGAACCCCAGAAAACATTATTTCCTTTGTAACTCTTCCTGTCATATCTTAATCTCTGGCATTTTCACAGTGTTATTCAGTAGGAGAAGGACTACAGCTTGACTTTTGAGAAGTCTTTGGTAACTTCCAGGCACTTCAACACCCTGTGGTGACCTGTAGGTTCTCTTGAGAAACTCTAGTTCTCACAGACTTAATTCTGTATACAGATTTTATACAGATGCAGGCTAGCTGGGAAGGTGCTGGGTTTTTTAATTCTTCATGAAGGGCAAAATCTAGTGCTAGGGAGCTATTATGAGGGGTTTATTTTGTGTACTTCTGTGCAGCTCAGAGGTGTGGAAGGGCAGCCAGGCTTCCCAGGGGCTCTGGAAGGGCTTTGGGTGGTTGTGTGCACTGGTGAGTCAGAATAAAGTGATCAGGAGGAAAAGAACATTAAGAACTTGGACTAATGACAACCACCAAAAAACCCAGACCAAATTCAGCTGCCTGCCAGGCACCTCCAGGAGGTCCTGCTGCTCTGTCAGGTCCTGTTTCATGAGAAGGGAGGTGTGTGGTTACTGCCTTGCTCTCCTGGTTTATCACCTTTTCCTTTCTCTGGTTGTCTTGGGTGTTGCCTCAGCGCACGGGCCACTTACCTGACTCCAAGGTTCAGCTCCACCTTCTTTACAGTCCTGCTTGAATTCCTTCCTAAATTCAGTTCTTTTTTGGTTTCTGCCATGGTTGAACAATCCCATTTTGTTGTGAAGGATTGTCAGTGCATTAAGATTCTCTTCATCTTGCCCTATCCAGGTGTGGCTTGAGATTATACTGTTAAAAGAGATGCTTCTCTGTTTGAGAGCTTTTCTGATCTGACAGGAGGCTCTGCTTGGAGAAACTGCTGTTTCTATGAAGTTTTCAAGCTTTGACAAATTCTCCCTGCCCCTTATATTGAAGATAATTAAATATTTTAATGACAAGTTTAGTTTTTTAACTGACTTATTACTTGGGGTATTGTTGTGTTCCTGCAAAGAACTGCCAGTGGGGTTGGGTTGTTTGTTAAACCCCCCTGGCTGTACCTTACCCTCTGTCAATTAACTCTCCTCTTCTTCCTAGGTCTGGATCAAGAAATAGAGATCGTCGAAGGTGAGTGCACAGTCCTCCTACAGTTCTCCCAGATGCCTGCTTGTGTTTCTGTCTAGCTGCTGAGGCTTTTCCAGGGTCTTGCAAGTAGAGATTGCTCAGTGCCCCAGTGTTTTGCTTTGGGATTTACCACTTGGGCACCTCGCTGGTGCTCTGTGTCACCCATGGGGCTACAAAGCAGGGGCTGGCTCACCTGCTGAGGACAGTGGGTGCTGTGTGCTCCAGAGTAACATCTAAGAATGTCCTCAGTGCCTTTTGCAAGAAGTGTCTAATATACTTCCCTAGCTTTCCTGTCTGACATACATCTGTTACCTGTATTATACTTCAGGTGTAAAAACACAGAGATTGAAGCTTAAAGCCCCCCATCTCTGTGAAGAGCTTGCCTTAGCAGTATGACATCCTGCTCTGTCATCACATACCTGGAGATCTTCCCCTTTCTGCTGCTTTCCATATCTATAGGCATCCTGTGTTTTGTTAGAGCAGATAGAAACAGATCTGCTTCTGAAGCACGGGACTTGGCCAGGGGAGACTCTCCTGTGGCAGTCTGCCACACGGGTTGGGGATTTCACACGCCATTCACTTCGGCCTCTCTTCCTCTTACACAGGCCTTGCTTGGAGTGCCACACGGGTGGCGTGTGCTTCCACGAGTGGTGGGAGCTTTTCCTCTAAGCTGCTTGGCAGCTCGGTGTTACCCGTTGGCATCGTGCTGGGAGCAGGAGGGAGGTGCCCACCCCGTGGGCGCAGTGGGGCGGGGCGGTTTCGGAGAGGCCGGGCCGAGGGGGCAGAGGCC